GTCCGGGTTGTTCCGCTGGATGTGGAGGAAGGACGCGATCTCGAAGGTGCACCAGAGCCGCCGAAAGTACTCCGGCGACCAGAGCACGACCATTTCGCGGGACTTGCCGATGAAACCGCTGAAGGAGTCGATGGCCGCCTGCTTCTTGTACGCGTCGGTCTGGTGCACGCACATCTTGTCGCAGAAGGCCGACTGCTCGCCGACGCAGCCCACGCGGTGCGCGAAGAAAAGACAAAAGGCGAAGGCGCCCAGGCCCCCGAGGAGCGCGTAGGGCACGCCGAACTCGAGGCGCTCGTCGAGGTGCTCGTCGCGGTAGCCGCCGCCCGCGGGGAGCAGGCCCTGCCGCCGCGCCGCCGCGAGGGCCCCCGCGACGACGACGGACGCGACCGCGGCCGTGGAGCCGTTCATTCGCACATTCAAGGCGAGCCACTTGCCGCTCGAGCTCGCGCGCCAGCTGTGGGACACGAAGAGGTCGAGCTGGCCCGTCGGGCGCGAGCAGGCGTACAGTTCGTGGGCCGCGTTGTCGTCGAAGGTCTTGCCCGCGAGGTCGTGGCCCTGGAACGTGTCCGATCGCAGCAGCGTCATCATCGAGATGCCGCGCAGCAGCTCCGGGTCGACCTCGCATTTGTGGAGGCGGTCGACGGAGAGGCGCATCTTCGCGAGCATGTGCGTCGCCGCCGAGATGCGGCCCAGGGTCTCCGACCGCGCCACCGGGGCCGGCGCCGCCATGGTGTTTCACGAGCCCTGGTACGCCTGGACTTTACGGTGGCTGGATGCCATCCTATTCCTAGCGCGCGGCAGGTCAGAGGTGAAGGTACTCGAGTATACGATTTTTGCAGCGTGCGATGGAACGATAGCTCACACATGTAGGCTGCATCACCGATGCGGCTGCTGCTCGCGTTCCTCTGCCGCGCCGCCGCCGGCGACGACCGCGCCTGGGCGCGCTGCGCGAGCGAGAACGGCACGTGCCACTGCCCCGGCGGCGTCGTGCGCTTCGGGTCGTCGCGCGGCGGCGGCCGCTGGGGCGCCGCCGTCGCGACGCGGCTCGCCGGCGACGGCGTCAACGCCGGCGCGGCGACGTGCCGCCGCGGCGCGCTCCCCGCCGACGGCGCCAAGCCCGGCGCGCGGCGGTCCTGCGAGTGCGCCGGCGCGGGGCCGACGCGCGCGCCGCGGCCGCGGTGGCTCCGCGCGGCGCCGCGCTGCGACGTTCCGGCGCCGCGCGTCGACGCCGCCCGCGCG